GTTCCTTAACAGCAACCTAGTAAAGCAAAGCCATTGGCTGATAGCGTAGCATTTCGAGGGTCTACCCGGTGTCACGCAGTGTGAGAGATAGTTGTAACTCTTCGCAAAACCCTGGAACTGTGAGTCATTGGGCTTGGGGCGCTCAAGCTAACGCCTTAAAACCAACGAACAGACTGTTGTATTGAAGGTCCTTAATTCTGTTGTCAGGAGCTGGAGGCTCTAAAGGCGCTTGGAAGCTTCCAGTATTAGGGTGTAGGGGTTTAGTCCCTAGGTCTCCCTGAATTCGCTGTTGGTGACGCTCTTCGTGACCGTCGGCTATGCCATCCTTCTAGGTGCCCAGAAGCCATATCGTCAGCGACAGGTGCTCGGGGACTTTTCTCTGAAAGACCAACGAGATTTTGGGAAAACAGGTTGGTGAATGTGAGCCAGGGAGTTTTTTGGGTTGCAATATTCGAAAACAGATCAGGGTGGCACTTGTCAAAAGATTCTAGACCCTATACCCCTAAACCCTTTAAAGCCCAAAACCCAAAGATCCCTAAACCCTCTTAAACCCCGAAACCTCTAAAGCCCAAATCCCTAAGATCTAAACCTTTAGATGCTATTTAGGCCCGGGCCGGCTCCCTCCGTCAAAGCACTTTTTTTGGTGTGGCCGGGGGTCTGCTCTGTCCCTGCCTTATTGGGGCTTAGTAAGGAATAGGGGAATACATGAGATATTCTAAACCCTAAGCCCTAAACCGCATAGGGTTTATATAGGGATTACATACCCGTATTCCCTACTCAGCACCAGTAATTTGTCCTCCCTGTCCCGACTGTGGAGGTTTGTCTCAGTGTTCTCGGAACAAAGCAGCTTCCCCGAATTTTTTTTGGCAGTGGAGGGCTGGGCCAGGCTTCCAGGTTTTTGAGCTTGGCGGTTTTGGGTCTACCTACACCCCAGAGTAAGTAGAATCACGGCTTTTTAGACCATATTAAGGGGTTTTGGGCCATTATTTTACTTATTTTGGGGGTCCAGGTAGACGTTTCCGAGTGTTGAGGCCGCGAGATGTGTTGATAGTTCTCGACTCGTTGCAGGTCGTCCTTGGTTGACAAGGACACATGGTCCTATTCAGTTGCGCCTGCTGTCGTCTACGAATCAGTCTTCATATCAATTTGTTGGTGTGCGGTATTCCCTTGTGTTGCTTTGGATCAAAGGGCCAAGCGGTGTAGGATTTAGGGTTCCAGACTCATGCCACAGACCTCACTCTCGACGTGTCTATGTCAACTCATGGTCCAACCTATGTGGGGAGGTGCAAACCTCGAAAGATCGCCCTTTCTTTGAAGCCCCCGCCCGACATTGAGAAAGAGTTCGATCTGGATTTTGTGGGAGATTGTGTGAACCTACTTCCGAACTGGGTCAAAGCCTTATTCTTGTCGTGATTCATAACTGAGCTCCGAAATCTGCACCACGCAAACAGGTGAGCGATTTGCAAGCTGGCTCCTTCATGTGCTTCTTGGCTACATAAACCCTTGCAGCAGGGTTCCTGCACAGGTATCTCAGCGGATTACACTGGCGGAGGATTACATGTGTATTTTACATAAAGAGGGCTAGACTTTGATGTAAAGATCGAGAAAGGATTGCAGCACTCCCGCAAGGTTGCGAAAACGTTTCTGAACATTACATATGGTCCGGTTCCTAAGCACCGAGACCACCGGAGTCGTAGGGTCTATCCGCATAAAGGATGCAGAGCCCTAGACCACTAAATCCTAAATCCTAAACTCCAAAACCCTAAACCCTAAATCCCTTGATGGCCATGGCTCACCTCCGTGGCCAGAAAATTCATAATCGCATTGTAGAACAGATGTAGGGCGTTCCAATACCAGGGGTCCGCACTACATAACCCCAAATATCATAGGCCTTAGTATAAAAGCACCCAACAGAGCCCCGCCGTTTTTGGGAACCCCGGTTTGCAGTTTTTTTTGGATGCTGACGCAAACATTTGGTATCATTTTGTGTATTCTGCAGCTGTTTAAAATTTTTGTTGGAACCTCATGTCCTTCCCGTAAGTAAGTCCGATGAAGCATGCCTCTCACTCTAAACCCCAAGCCGTACGCGCAAAACCTTAAACTCTCAACCAAAACCCTGAAACCCCAAAAACCCTGAACCGTCAAGGTTTGTCCTTGGCAGCCGTGGGTTTTTTCTTTGGCTTTCCCTGGCTTGCGCGGGGTGCTCTGGCAGTGCCGTTCATCGGAGCCGGCGTGCAGATGCTGCGTCCAGGCAGGAAACCCTCAACCCCTAAACCCTGAACCCCTAAACCCCTAAACGCACCCCTAGACCCCTAAAACCTAAACCCCAACCCCTAAACCCTAAAGCCCTAAACCCTAAAGCTCTAAACCCCAACCCCTAAACCCTAAAGCCCTAAGCCCCAAACCCTAAACCCTAAACCCTTACCTTCACCCTCTCCTGAGGAAGATTGAGGATT